TCCTTAGCCATCAAGGAAATGCAAATCAAAACAACTCTGAGATACCATCTTACTCCTGTTAGAATGGCTAAAATCAAAAAAACCAATGACAGTTTATGCTGGAGAGGATGTGGAGAAAGGGGAACACTTCTCCACTGCTGGTGGGAGTGCCAACTTGTACAGCCACTTTGGAAATCATTATAGCGACTCCTCACAAAAATGGGAATGAGTCTACCACAAGATCCAGCAATTCCACTCCTAGGCATATACACAAAAGAAGCACATTCATACAACAAAGACATCTGTTCAATGATGTTCATAGCAGCACTATTTGTAATAGCCAGAAACTGGAAACAGCCTAGATTCCCCTCAACCGAACAATGGATAGAGAAAATGTGGTACATTTACACAATGGAATACTACTCAGCAGAAAAAAACAATGGAATCTTGAAGTTTGCATGAAAATGGATAGAAATCAAAGAAACCATTCTGAGGGAGGTAACCCAATCCCAAAATTCATCAGAGACAACTGACAAATTTTTTTCTCTCTAAGAAAGCTGATTATCTCAGATATTGGGTAAGCCAAAGTTGACTAACACATTCTCCAAATATCCTAGTGTGTTGACTAACACACTCTCCAAATATCCAGAATAGAACTGTATCTGGACATAAGAATGTCAAAGATGAAGATTGGGTTAAAAGAAGGCCATTGATGTGGCATGCCAAGTCCTTACAAGAAGAGTAGGCAAGAACAAAGACCCATGAAGGACATCAACAGGAAGTCAAAGACAAAAGCCTTGTAGATATCAGCTATGCTGATGTTGTGATCTTCGACTTCTGGCCTTAAGAACAGTAAGTCTGTGAAGCCCCACTTGTAAAACAAACAGCCTATGGTGTGTGTCATATAGCTCTTGACAGCACTTACCTTCAAATAAATTTTCTTAATTCTCAAAGAATATTTACTTTTAATTATTTATTTTATTTTTGAGATTATAATATGATCATTTCCTTATTGCTTTTCCTCCCTGAAAATTCTCCCATTCACCCCTTTTTGCTCTCTTCAATTTCATGGCCTCTTTCTTCATTAATTGTTATTATACACACATTGATTGTTGTTATACACACAGATAGATAGATAGATAGATAGATAGATAGATAGATAGATAGATAGACAGACAGATAGATAGATGTGTGTGTGTGTGTGTGTGTGTGTGTGTGTGTGTTAGTTTTGGGGATGACCTCTCGGAGTTGGATAAACAATTGGTATGCTCTTTCCTACAGAATAATATTTCACCCTTTCTCAGCATTCTTTAGTTGTCTATGTTCTTCATGTAGAGTTGATGCCTCATGGACTTTCTACCCTCCACTTTGGCAGCTCTGTTATTTTTGCTCTTATTCTACTCATGTTTAGGCAGTCATGTTGGTGAGATTTTGTAAGTAGATCTTTTGACACTGCTAGGAGACACAATCTCACAGTAAACTCCTTGATCCTCTGGCTCTTGCAATCTTCCAACCAGTCTTCCTCAATGTTCCCTGAACATACCACTGCAGCACTCTTAGGCTTATGTCACACTGGCCATAGTCATGATTCATAATAGGGTAAAAGTGATCTTACTGGGGAAATGGGAAAAAGCAAGGGAGCTCTAATTCGTGGGAGGGTAAATACAGAAAAAGGAAGGTAAAATAAAGTAATCATACTATTAACCATACACCAAAAAAACTATAAATATGTAAGTCTGTGTATAAAATATGCACATACAGTTTAAATGAAATTTTCTCATTTGGGCTGCCAGTGCTCTTTCCAAGAGTCAATGACCATCTAACAAAATCCACAACACTGGGCATGAGAAGCCCTCTTGAGCTGTTTGTCAGGATTGTCCAAGAGTCTTCCAATATATTACAGACTATAGCTAGTACCCTTTGGTTGATCCTAGTGATATAAAGTAAATCCCTGTTGCTGGGAACACCATGCCTTCAGACACAGGGCAAAGGGGGCTGAGCTGGAACTGACCTGAATTCCTCCTCCAGAAGGTCTATATTCCATGGTACCAGAAGGCATCATGGAAGCTTCCAAATGAGGGAAGCAACCAAAAATTCTACCGAGCTATGATGCCTATGAAGAATATTTTCTTAGTCAAAATTAAAAAGATAGTGATAAATGCTGTGGTGTTCAGTTGCTGTCACTTCAATACAAACTGGAGTGATCTAGAAAGAGGTAACCTCAGTGGAGAAATTATCTCCATCGGATTAGCCTGTGAACATATTTATAGGGCATTGTTTTCAGGTAGGAAGGCCTAGTCCACTGTGGGTGGTGTCATCATCAGGCAGGTAGCTCTGAACTACATAAGAAAAATAGCTGAAATATTTATCGAAGGAGCTGTGTTACTTACATAACAATTATCCAGAAAGGGACCAAATGAGATTCTAGAGTTTTGAGAGGAAACTAAATGAAAACCACAATCCTCACCAGTGGAGAAATGCTAGAATTGGACTTGTGATGATGTCACCCCTGGTTCAATGGAGTCTCAATAAATTTTACCAATGGATTTAGAATTGCCACAGGTTTTTAGAGGCTCTTTCATCACAATAAAATATTAATTTTCCCTCTCACACATTGCTGTAGTGGTTAATTTGATGAGACTTCTAAGGAGTGATGTGCAGTTAGCCGTCATAGGGCACCATGCCAAGCTTCACAAGCAAAGGGCATACAAATGAAATAATCTGAAGTGTTCTTGCATGTCTGTACCCTACCAAAGCAATCACCACCTTGGCGCAGCCGTTTCTTAGGAAGTACTGAGTAGCTAAGATTAACTGCCCGGAGACCAGTTGAAGGTCACTGGTTCCTTTTAGCTACTCATTAATCCCCAGGAAATCTCCTGCTTTTTTGTGGTTATTGTTCAATCTTTAATAGACAATTTTGCAAGTACTGTAAGTACTTGCTCTCTCCTGGAACACCTGCAGCCAGCCAGATCCTGTTTGTATGGAGAAAGAACTTCTTTTCTTTAAAGGGGGTTGAATTTCAGCTTCCCTATATGGACCAGTGATTGAGAAAAAGCCACTTTAACTGGGTTTTGGCTTTTCTTTCTTATTTAATGGAGAAAGAGGATGAAATGAGGGGAAATGAAGGGATGGAAAGGAGGGAGGTAAATGAGGGAGAGGAACCCAGCTCCTAGATTCTTTTGGGCTCCCAGCAATGAATGCAGACCAGTAAGTCTCCTTGGGAGGAACCAAAAACCCAGATGAATGCATGCTCTGCTTGGGAAGGTCATGAAGGACACCTAAGACAGGAAATGCTCTGTTTGGGAAGGTCATGAAGGACACCCCAGACCGGAAACTCTGGACAGGACCCTGACAGCCTGAGCACCGAGTGGGGCCCAGGAAACTGGAATCCAGACTTAACGCCAATCACTTGTTCCAGCAAACTGAGCCATCTCTATCAGGGTAACCCACAAATGCAGTTTTAGGATTGCACTGGATAACAAACTGTCTGTAGAGGGTATGAAATCAGACCACAATTTCACAATCTCATCCAGGTAAGATCTGATCTTTTACCTTGGCGTTTCATGTCTTTTAAGTCAAGTTCTAAAATTGAAAAGCTGTGTGGATAAGAGAAATTCCTCCCTCGCCCTAGAGTGGCTATAGTTCTCAATGTTAACTGAACTCTCAACACATTTTAACGACAGTGCCCACCAGAATGCAGAATCCACTAACGTCAGAGTGACCCCTTCTGTTAATATACCTTACTGCAAAATGCTTCCTTGATGTTTATATGCTTCATAAGAAAAAAGGATATTCTCCAATTAAGTTACAAGATTTCCTGAATGTACACGAGGAAGGGTTGGTGTATCTCTATGCTGACTTCAAAAACTTAGATTCTCTCACTAGTCACCAGAGTCCAAGACAAAAATCTAGATCCACAGAGGGGAAAAAACTCATTATATTGTCTATAAATATAAATAAACCCAAATGTAAGTGCTCTATTTCAAAGTAGTCTCTGTAAATTTTCTAAAGTGATCATCACAGATGAATCTCCAAATATCCGTCTACGGAAATGAGAATGGCAAAGATATTGTTTACAAAGTCAGATACCAGTTAGAACAAATTGTCCCGAATATACATAAAGATGATCCTTTGGGATCAGAGGCTTGCAGAGCACATCTTAATGGACCCATAAACAGCACCTTAAGTTACTTCAAGGCAGTCTAAGTGAGTCTGAGCTAGTCTAAATCAGTCTAAGGCAACACAGGGACACCAGTTGGAGGACAGCTGACCTCTCATATATGAAGTATTTAAAATTCACCTCAGTTGGTAAATGCAGAGGGAATTATTGGAGCATCCTGCTTTAACAGAGTGAACTCCAGTGATTTTTTAAAAAAATATTTCCAAGCAAAACAAGACTCATTATTCCAACATTTCAGATGCTGATAGAAACACATAGCAACCTGTCCTAACAAATACAGCATTGCTTTTTGCTGAGTTTTGTCAGCATGCCTTTCTTCACAAAATGTCTCAGAGCTGCAACCAAAGTCCTAGTCAAAGGAGACATTCCTGCACCATCAGGCTTTATGACTCTGGCCATAGAGAGAAGCAAGCGGTTCAGCTCAATAGCATTTCCTTTGCTCGGAAAACAACTTGAACCCTTGAGTTAGAAGGAGAAATATTGTCAGCAGCAGGCTTCAGTTTTACAGTAGGTGACGTTTTCCCTGGAGGCTACTGGGTGACTAGCTGAACATGGAGATCCTGGTAAAGCTGGCACAGTTGGTATAAAAACAGATGGACCAGGACTTCCGCAATTACTGTTTGGATGGGCAGGTATATAGTTAATTATTATGTTTTTCTTCACCCTTTCAGAATTCATAAACTGTTTCTCAAGGTCACGTCATGGTTGTTCTGTACTTTTTAACAGGTCATTTATTCCTAAAATGTTTTTGAGACTTTTTTTTTTAAGAGAAATGGCTTTATAGCTCCAAGGGAAACTTCAACAGTCCAGTTAGACGAGAGAAAGCAAGTGACAAAAAAAATGGAGGAAACATGCTTTGCCTAAATATTTTATTGTTTTGTCCTTTTATTACTTGTGCATTTGGAATTGTCATTGTATGCCAAGAACCTCACAGAGAGCCCTACTTATGATCTTTATTTTCACAGAAAATTATAGAGCAGACATTTTATTACCATTCTTCTATTACCATAGAAGTCAGAAAATACCACGAACCTTTACTAAGGTCAAAAAGTAATTTTTTTAAGTGGTGAATAGGTTAATGTGACTGTGCATATTTTAATCCCAGCACTTGGGAGACTGAGGCAGGGGAATCAAAAGTTTGAAGGCAGCCTAAAATAAATAGCAAGATCCTGCCCTCCTTACCCCCCCACCAAGAAAGAAAACACCAAAGCTGAGATTTGAACTCAAACTGTCTTGACTATTAATTTCTTTATATTAATTATTGTGGGCTTTTACAACTGAATTATATTTTTTGGTGGATTTACTCAGACAACAAGATCCCCCTAGGAGCATGCTCAAACAAAAGGTGAGTTTTAAATGCTGAAGCTGATGTATATTACCCTGTCTGCTGTGGCCATTTGCATCTCAGTTCTGTCAGCCCTTAAAGGCATCCTTTATATTTAAGGAAGAGAGTGGTGAACCCCATTTTCACCCAAGTAAAATTCTCGGAAAACCAGCAGAGCTTCACAGAAACACACTAACATTAACCTGACTTTCTTCCCATTTTGGCTAGAGTAGTACAGATGAGAAAGTGCAAGCTATCAGTGTTGAAGTTGAAATGCATAGGGTGACTAAATTAAATACTGTGCTTCTTTTGGAAATGTTGGACTCTTTGCATCTTTGTAAATAAAGCTTTTTTGGTTTTTTTTCCTCTAGGACGCCTCCAAAAGCTTACACTAATACCATCAAATCTCCATTCCCAACAGAAACACACAAGAGAGAGGGAGAGAGAGAGAGAAAGAGAAAGCTCATTCATAGAAAGAGAAACTATAGTATTTGATTAAGCAGCAGCTAATTAAATGCACTTAGCCTATATTGATCTTAGCTCTCTATTCAACTTAATGTGTGTTGTAATCAAGGACTGCACCTCTGGCTGTCAACACCTCAGCCCAGATAATCAGAGCATTTCCCACCTAATAAAGAAACAATATGCAAACAAAATATATCTTATAATCTCATGAATTTCTATATGGTGCAAAGCTCTCCCATATTCTGTTTATGAAATTATGATGCTATTATCATTGTCTTGAAAGAATGCCTGATGATCTTTTATGCCAATTTTTAATGCTATCCAAACATTTACTTGTCAGCCCTTTATGTGTATTTGAAGAGTCCTCATCTTAAGATGTGACAAAGTAGCACGTGCAGAAGAATGAAAGTATGTTCCTTTCTTTTCTCAAAGGATGCCTTCAAAAGGTAATAAACCATCAGAATCACTTCTAAAAGGCATTGTTTTATCAACAGCTAATAATTTTGAAGTCAAAGTCATCGTTGAAAAACAAATGCATAATAAAAGGCATATTGCAGGTGCCTTGTGAGCCAAATGCAAACTTGCTAACTAACATCCAACCTGTGTGCATCACAGTTCAAAGGAGGGGGGAAGATTCCATTGGTATCAGATGGGAAGGAAATCTGTAGGTTGAGGAGACATGATGTGGTATTTCTCAACCGAGCTCCAGATATGAAAGTGCATAAGACAGTGTAAAAGGCTTTCCTATGAACCAATGACCAGCACAATTGAAAGAAACATGCAAGTGTCAGTGACAGCCAGAGAAAATGCTCCTAGGGAAATTACTTTCTTAGATAAACAGCACTCTGCAGGTTTGTATTTATGTGTTTTACCAGTGTGAAGAACAGACCATGGTCTATGTACACTGCAAACATTCAGGGCAAGAAATCCTTTTAACAAAACTTACTCTGCCCCAGGGATTTAGTGACGTGAAGGCAAAACGAACAAACAAAAAAAATCAAAGAAAGCCACTAACACCTGAAGAATTGCAAAACAAAATCCTAAATTCTAATGTGTCAGCTGAAGTGATCAGCGTTAGAGGCTATCCCAAAATCAACCTCGGAATTTCCAAGAGATTAAGTGACATAGCATTTAGAAATGCCAAAAAGATTGTGCTCTGAGACAAATATAATAGACTATAAATCAAGCTTCCAAAACTACCATTAGAAATTTCTCTTATGATTCTCTACCTTTAAGTTCTCACTTGCCCAAGGAATATCTAGAAACCTTTCTATTCAATAACCTATATTTTGAAACATTCATCATTTCCTTGTCTTGGGGTGACCACTGTAGTGTGGAGCCTGGGGACTCGGTCTGCTTTGACTTATACTTAGAAGAACAAAGGAAACTTTGATTCACTAGGCTTGGATGAAATGTATCCATATCATTGCAATATTAGAGCCTTTTAATCGTCTTTCCATAAGACAAGATTAAAATGCCTTAGTCACACAAGATTAAATGCTTATTCCATAATTGCAATGGACAGTATGCTTTCAAGGTGGGAGAATTAAATTAAAAGAAAGACAACTCTAGAAAATGTACTAGTGGTAGAATTAGAGACTGTTTCATCAGATCCTGATGTCTCTACAGTAATGAATCTGCCAAAAGATAATAATATTTTAGTGAAAGGTGTGATTGGATAAGTCACATTATTTATTAACTGTTACCCTAAAATATCACTTTTGTCTTATTATTAAGAATGGTTAGAGGGCATCAGAGATGCCTGACACAAGGAATTAAAAATGGATTGTGTCTATCAGAAATCCTAGAGTTGCAAAACTGTATCCCAGGTGACAGACAGCTAGCACACTCACAAACCCGCAACTAGAAAGGTCTCAGTCAAGTTCCAGAGTCAGTCAGCAATCGCCTGGTCCTTTCCAATCTATCAAACAAGACCTTTGAATTTCTAATCTTCTTTTAAGTATCAGATGAACAGAAGTGTTTGAGAAGACAGAGACCAGCAACATAAAGGTTATGAAAGTTGATAGGAAAATCTTGTCAAAGCTATTTCCCAAGGTTATTCACACTCCCCTTCACAAACAGATCAAGTTACTAATTAGATTTCCAGAGAGTACATGTTATAAGGACTATAATGGTAGAAAATAGACTGGGTCAAAGAGCAAAGCCAATATAATGCTTCAAGGAAAGCGGGTCTGGAGGCTGAGGAAGCAACAGACAACCCACCATCCCTCAGGTTTTCAAGATGCCAACACTAATGGGACACATAAAGATCTCTCTCTCTCTCTCTCTCTCTCTCTCTCTCTCTCTCTCTCTCTCTTTCTCTCTCTCTCCTCCCACCCCCACCACTCCTTTTGTGAAATATTGGATGTCTTAAGTTCACAAAAGTCTTCCTTCAGCATGCCATTTCTTTCTCCCAGCTTTAGAAAGACTGTGAATAGCACTAGTCCAAATTCACAGGACTTCCTCTCTATGCTGTGTGTGAATGGTAGAAATGCATCCTGTTCTCCAGTGTTATGAAGAAAAGGGCCCTTTCTAAAGGCAGTTAGAGGCCAAGCCAGGCTCCCCTGCATCCACCTGTGTTCCCACACGACTGGAGTTGCAGAGACAAGGCACAACACAGCTACAGACTGCAAGTCTTTTAGTCTTCCGGAAACAGCTCACATCAGAGTTTCCTCACGTCCTAGCTACATTATGAAACGTCCACTCACTCTCTTGCTTAAATTGTTAATATGTTTTATTATGTTCATTTCTTTCCAACTGATCACTCCAAGCATTGGCTCATGCTTCAGACCACTAGATTCTTATATGTATAAATATAAATATGTATTTGTATATGTATGATAACTTGCATAAAACAGAACTTTTTAGTTAATCTATGCTTACAGGCTGTCACATCAAGAGTCAAAATACTGAAAATTAACTGGTCACTTCATGTAAAACCAAACTAGAAGAAGAAAAACCGGCTCTGTCTCTTTCCTGAACACCCACTCTGTTTTGTGCCCCCTTTTTTTACTTCCCCAATATAGCTGTTTTACATTTACTTTATTGTTATGTGTATGGATATTTTATCTTCATGTATGTCTATGCACTATATGCATTATGGTGCTCACAGAAGCCAAAAAGGGACATTGGATGACATGGAACTGGAATTATAAAGAACGTTAGGAGCTGCCATGTGGATACTAGGAAACTAACCCAGGTCCTCTGGAAGAGTACCCTGTGCTCTTAACTGCTGAGCCATCTCTCACCCCCTAGTATCATTGTTTTAGAACACATCAGTATCAATGGTTCTCAACATTTCTATATCAAAGTTGCATTATCAGTGGGACAAAAAAAATTCAAATTCAAGCCTTGAGTCACATTCCCCAACAAGTCTATCTCTGCAATTATTTTCAAAGGAGCATCAACTTTGTAATAAATCAGCTGATAGCAATAGCAATTCAATGAGAGAAGTTCCACCAGGACAACTGCGTAATTGCTAGAGTCTGGCCCAGAAAAAAAAAAAAAGTGAAACTTTGGTTCAAAAATAGAAAGCCAACTTCTTTTCTTCCACAGCCTTTCTCTATAAATTTTATGGTATTTTATGGGCACGATTATGCTATTATTGCTAATGTGGCAATAGTGATTCTTGCCAGATGAGTGTGAAAAAGTCTGTAGTATACTCTGGGAAAAATAAGATATTGACAGCTTGGAAGGAAAGATGGTGGAATGAGGCCAAAGATAATCTTTACACAGTCACTAAAGGCATATAACGAAGAAAGGACAGACCTACGTACAGAAAAGCTAGTGTTGCGTAGTCTGTGCTCACACTGACAGAGCAGCACCAACTACTACACAACACCAGGGAACCTCGGCAGGTTGGTTCTGTACAGCACCAGAAGGAGAAGTTGGGTAATCTTGGTGGGAGGTTTCTGTTGGGGAGCAGTCCCTGGCTGTAAACATCCAATAGGAGGCAGCTCTAGTTGATACTTTCTGTATGCTCTGTCAACATTTGCCCATAGGCCAGAAAAAGGGTTTTCCACTTCCAGAGCTTCTTTCCCTACATGATGGAGGAGGCCCTCATCTCATCAGTAATATCAGATCAGGTTTTCATTGAAGCAATTGATATGATATCTAAATTACTAAGATTGACTCCTAAAAAGTCGCAAGTATGTAAGCTCTCATCACTCCTCTGAAGAGCTTTAGAGTAGATGGGAGAACATGGGTCTCTATGATGGAGCACTGTGTCACTTACACTGGGATAAGAGGTCAAGCCTGTCAGGTGTCATATGGTCTGGCATGCACCTCATGATGCCATGAAATGCACATGAAAAGAACCTAAGCAGTGGCCTCCTCAGAGAAGATTGCCCATTCCAAAAAGCAAAGAAATAGTCATGGGTCAAGATCATGGCATATCCTGAAAGATATTTCAAAGCCTTCTGCATCTTAGTTTAGAAAAGCACAGGGTAAGGGAAGGGGTGAGTCCTTGGTTAACGGCTAGAAAATGTGGTCCAACAAACAAAAGTGGTAGGTGAAAATCAATTAGGTCCCAAATCTAAAGAGAGAATAATAAAAGAACTATAGAATACATTTCATCAGAGATGACAATAAAAAGATCTTGTCATATAAAGCCACACAGTGGGGTCTGGAGCTATTATACTAAGTACTACAAAACTTTCCAAGATGCTATTGTCTAATGATTCACCCTAGAATTGTGAAAGAAGAATGAGTTTTAGTCTTGGAGAAGAGACTGGGGAGGCATTGATTAAAGAATACCAGGCCTTAGTTGCTCAGGATGACTAGGACCTACTGAGCCATGTCACTCTGCAGTACTCTTAGGTACTGGGAAGAGGCAATGGCGATAGGCTCACCAGGTGGATAAAAGGGAAGGAGTTATGCTAAACATTCTTAGAACCAAAAAGAAACAACAGTAAACAAAGAAGATGGAAGCAAATTTGGGAGACTATCTGATACCCATGTAAGGGATGACGGATATTTGGGACATGATGGGTATGTAGGGGCGAATGGGTATATTTGCAGCATACAGGTGTAACCTTATCTCAGACTTTCCAAGCCACATTATAAATATGGACATATTTTGGTATGCCTATCATAATTCATAGAAAAGACATTTTAAGATCATTTGAAGCTTGGAGACAGACTTCACGCTGTACAAAAAGGGTTTTGTTTTTGCATAGATTTCCTCAGGTATGATCATGGTGTAGTAACTGTGGGGAAATTTTGGTATATTGTAGTACTTTGCCACCATATCAATGATTTCATTAAAAGAGAGTAGGGAGAAGAGGGAGAGTGGCAAGTGGAGAAAGATGCTCCAAGTGGTTGAATCTTGGAAGTAATAGAGTTTGTTGTGTTACACTTTCAACATTGCTGTGTGCTTGAATACTTTCAAAAATTATAAATCAATAAATAAGTAATTGTAGGTTTGGTAACACTGAAAATTGTGTAGGATCAATATGCTTTGTTTCTTTATACAACATTTCATTTTGAAGTTGTAACCTTTTAAAGTTATGCTTTTTAAATTACAGAATATTTGCTCTCTTTTCTGCTCAGGTCTAATACAGTGTTCACTCACCAGCTCAGTGGTAAACCCATAAGAGATGGACTATGCCCTATGGGGGGAAAAAGATGTTTTGTCTTATTAATACCATAGTAGACATTTCCCAAACTTCTATTTGTTTATTTTAAATTTTACTCATTTTTATTTATGTGTATCTGTGTACCTGCTTGGGGTCTCTATGTGCATCCCATTCATGTAGTGTCCATGGAGGCCAGAAGAGGGTTTTAGCTTCCCAAGGATCTGGAGTTACAGATGTCTGTGAGCCTCCTGGTGTGGATACTGGGAACATAACCTGGGTTCTCTGACAGATCAGCAATCACACTTAACTTCTGTGCCATCTCTCCACCTCCAACTTTCCATTTATTTTAAATCATCTTAGGCATATCTGCTGCTGTTTGCCTAAAGGAACATGTCAAATATTCCAATCCTCCATGGGTTAAACTTTTTCTTTATTTATTGACAATCTTTTCTCATTTCCTTTCTTACATTTTTAGAAATGTTCATAATGTTTTGTTCGTTATATTCACATCAATCTAACCATACAATTACAACTCTACCTTCTTGTTTATTCATAGAAAATAAAGTCAAATATATAGGCTTACTGTGCCATAAACTTTGGGCTCCAACCATATTATCTAACACACTGTAGACAAACATTCTAGGATGCCCATGGCATTTGTAGGATGGAACAGGTTAGGAGTTATAGATTGATAATCAATACATGTAATATACAAGCACCTTTTCTTGAATCCCTGCTCCTAGAATAAGTTTCTAAATTCTTCATTAGGCATCAGGCAACTTGACAAGCTGCAGATGACCTTCCTGGTCTCAACGCCCCTTTCTTGCTTCGTGTAAGATTTTCAGCCCAGTTCTGTATCTGGAACCACTCTCTTCACACTTAATGCTCAAAACTTCGCCTCCATCAGATCCTGGCCCAAAACATTCTCCCATATTTCCTGTGAGAGCCAGCACAATGAGTATGTTCTCCATAAGTGGTTTTTATGTTGGAATCAGGCTGCAAGCTGCCTGGTGTTTTCTTCCATATCTAACATATTTTTTCTTTATTGCAACAGTCCTTACATTTTGCTTTCTGCTTGTATTCTTGCAAACACAGAAGTATAGACCAAATATGTAACTGTCTGAACTCCTCACAACACTTCATAATAATACTTCTAGAAGCTCCCAGTCATCTGTCAAATTCTCATAGGGCACCATGTGGCTAAGCTCTGAGGTCTCTAGGTTGGGTAGGTAAGTTCTTCCATTTGGTGGCTGTGTTGAGACAAACCCCGCTGTAGGTCAGGGAATAATTGGAGTCACATTCAAATGTATAAAATTGCTTATAATTGTATCAATTTTATTTATTTTAAACTTTTTAAAAATATCATACCCAAAGTCCAAGAGTGCCAGTATCAAACTCAAAGCTCCATCAGAGAACCAGTGTATCTTTTGAGAATCTTGTCATTAATTCCACATCAGTTGCAGACATTTAAACTGGCTCTCATGAAGACTTAGGAACCAGCATCCTATAAAAGGCTATCCCATGATTACCCTAAGCATGATCGTCTCTCCTCCTTCTTAAACTATAAAACATAAGCCTCCAGTCTTAGACATTGTGGTGTTATATGAGCAAAAGATTTCTTGAAACAAAAAGCCTTAGAAGAAAAGAAAGATGTTGGGAAAAGTCACAAGGCACAGTCCCAAAAGGAGAGAGATATCAGGAAGAAGGCTAGAGCAAAGGAGGAGAAGAAACTTAAAATTCATGGCAGCCAGTGAGTCTCTCAAACAGAGCCAAAGTCTTCCACAAGAAGAAACCTGGATGTGGTAGAAGTATATTTGATTTGCCATGTCATTAGCAAAGATAGCCCATGGAAGCAGATCATGGCAGCTATACAGTGATAGACAGCACATCAGCTGGTCCCAGAATCAAGGTCAAGTGAGTTCATTGTAATGGGTGTATTATCATTGCCCATGCTGTCTGAGCACCCACTTCTTGCCTTGTTCTCAGCATGGGCAAACCTGCTGTGAGTTTCTCTTCTAAAAGGGTCATGTTGCAAACATCACTCCTGTCCTTGGTATCTGCGCATCCCAGTATCCACTCTGAGCTCCCCTGTAACCAAGCAATCAATGCCTCTCTTGAATTCACATGAAAAGTTGAGAACATCATCTGGCCTTGGATGAGTGCTCTTAAGTCCTAACATTGGCTTTATGACTATTTTTTAAAGACAGGGTCTTACTACATAACCTTGGCTGTCTTAAACCTCACTACGTAGACCATTGATCATAGAGACCCACGTGCCTCTGCCTCCCAACTGAGTGCTGGGATCAAAGGTATGTACCACTGTGCCCAGCTGTGGCTTTTCAGTAAAAAGGTTGTGTGCATGCAAAACAGAAATTATTCTGTGACAGATTCTAAAAAGTTCAAATCAGGCTAGCCTTGAACTCAGGATCCTCCCATGGAAGACTCAAAGTGCTGATCACAGATGTTGGCGACCAAGCGTGGATTTAGTCAATTTTCTGTAGAAGCTTTCAGGTGATTGAATGAGCCTCCACCACTCTCTGGAGGTCAGCCAGCCTTTCTCATGTCTGCCAATGGAAGTGTGAATATCTTCAAAATTTCAAAGCAGAGCAAAAGAAAGCAAGAATCCTTCCCAGAAATGCCAGTATCAAGAATAAATTTTTGACTAAATATTCAGGTACCATCACACAGCTACATTGGTACATCAATGTACCATCCCGGGATTCAAACATACTTGTCACTTAGAAGTGGTGTGCCTGAATACACAAAGCAGCACCCTCCTGGTCAAAAGCTAAAATTAAGTGAAAGGACAGGAAGTTCACTTCCAGATTTAAAAGTCCCCCAGCTGAAGAAAAGAATGTACCAGAACAACAGGGTCTTGGAAAGAGGACTAGAGAGATGGCTCAGCAGCTAAGATCCCTGGCTGCTTTTCCAAAGAACCTGCTCCATTCCTGGTACCCACATTGTGTGGTTCACAGTGCCTGTAACTCTAGTTCCAGAGGACCTGACACCCCTTCTGGCCTTTAGAGATACAAGTCCACTTCTATCACACACACACACACACACACAGAGAGAGAGAGAGAGAGAGAGAGAGAGAGAGAGAGAGACAGAGAGAGAGAGAGACAGAGAAAGACAGAGAGAGAAAGAGAGAGAGACAGAGAGAGGGAGAGGGAGAGAGAGAGAGAGAGAGAGAGAGAGAGAGAGAGAGAGTATGAATAAAAATAGGTTTTTTTTAACATAAGAAAATCACTTCAACATTCCTCAAGTTAGATCAGATAAGTAATGGCAAAAGAAAAATGTATTTTTGTAAAGAATTAAATGAAGCTCATATATAACTTTGCAAGAGTTTGTGATAATGCTTTGTTGTTGTTGTTCTAAGTTGTGTGAGCTGTAGACCCAGGTGCTGAGTCCACCACAAACTGCTGTCTGCTGGAAAATACCACCTCTCCCCAACAGCCCACATGGGTTCAGTAACCAGTACTGTAAAGACTCTTTTGATTCCTCCCTCCCTCTCTCCTTCCTCCCTCCCTCCTTCTCTTTCTGTCTCTGTGTCTCTGTCTCTATGTCTTCCCCCTCTTTCTCTTACACACACACACACACACACACACACACACACACACTCAGTTCTGTTCCTCTGGATAATTCCAAATAGTACAGATGGAGAGCTTATGGCATATATGGGCCCAGTATTCAGAATGCTTTTTTTTCCAAAATAGATGTGCTGCTGGCCTTTGATATATAGTTAATTTACTCCCATGTTACATAAGACATACTTCACAACTAACCAATCCACAGCTCTAGGAGGGTGCTAAAGACTCAGGAAGCACACTTTCCACATAACTTATATTTTTAAGAGTGTCTGCAGCTCACCAAGCAATCACATCTCTTTCTTCTTTATAATCAATTGTTTTTGTCATTTTTATCCTAAAACTATAACCCAATTACACCATCACCAATGTATCCAACCTCTTGTGAGCTGTTACTACAAAATGGATAGGTAGGGGACATTCTCCAGCTGGTAGGATAAAAGGAAGAACATTCAGCGGGTTTTTGCCAACCAACTTGCCACCTGATTCCAAACTTCAAAAGCCAGCTTCAAGCTAGACATGATGCTTGTTCGATTGATGGCCCAGACTATTCAAGCAAGTTCCTAACTCAGCTGTCATGGAGGTGCAGCCAAATATATGCATTCATGAAATTATTAAAGATTTGTTTATGTGAGGCTCTGATGTTTGCCATGAAAATTCCTACAATTAAAATTTGATTAAAAATTAGAAATATGTCCCCCTTTCAAAGTCAGTTTCAAGAAACCCTTGATAGGATCGGCTCATTAATTCCTGGCCCCTTTCACTAATACCTCGTCTGAAGTCATGTGTTATAAATCAGTTTCAGTTGAGATATTAAAATCAGATTATAAGAGAAAAGCCTTGTAAATATTTGCCTCCAAATGAGTTTAAGAATAAATATATATTCAGTAATCCATCCATATTTAGCAGATATTAATAAGACAAAGCATAGCTTTAGGTTCACTTATCATTTAATACAAAGAAGGAAATAGGAGACTGGGTCTGATTAGCTTGTTTGTTCTTGGGCTTGGTAATACCTAATTAAAATTTGAACTTCAAAATTGATATAATCAGTCAAATGTCAGCAGAAGTATTTATTCTGTAAATGAAGCTTTAGTTAATAGAACATTAATGTGAAGTATTTTACATGCTCTTCCCTACAAGGAGAAGAAAGGGTGTGGAATCCATGGATAGAAATGGAGATGGACTCCTGGGCTTAGAGTGTCCTTCCGGGTGTGTATCAGCAACCTTCCACTGATGGCTCAGGAGTCAGCCCTTCAAAGATGTGGGGTTGGAAATCAGTTTTAATGTCCTAATTGTATGTCAACTTAGAGCTAAAGAGATCTTCTGGAGTCCCAGGATGTGGCTTTCACACAGTTATCCAGATATAGGACTAAACTCGTAGCCTATTGCTGATAATGCATAGGAAAGAAGATTGCCATGGACACCAGAATCCAGAGAAAGTAAATGCAAACTTCCACAGTTAGGGATAATTTGGATAGTGTTTGAAGGAACAGAGGCAACAAGAATAACTAGAGGCTTAGACAAGCACATGTCTTTGAAGGGGCAGTGGAATGGAAAAGAAGCTGAGAAATACATAGATGCCTCAGGTCCCCCCACTTTAGAGGTTCACTTGGGCTCTTGACCTCTTCTCCTGTGAGTTCCAAGGCTTAGACCTTTAATTCCCTTATTTCTGAGTCCCAGAAAAAATTTAATGGAGATATTGCCTGTAATTTCTAACTAGCTTGGGTCCCTGTGAGGTTTATAGCCATCAAAACCATTCAGGAGCCACCCATGTGAACTTGAGACAGGACTTGTCATCTTGATACACAGGAAGGTGGCAGTTTTCTTGGCGATCAACTGATCAGCTGTGAGACCATGCCCTCCTTCCTTGTGTCTCCCATCATTCTCTTCTGTGGAGGCATCCGTAGAGATGAAGAAATTACCATACACAAGGCTTCAGGAATCCAGAACCTATCCGAACACTGCCCTGGCTCTAGTTGGGCAATTTCCCTCAAGTTACAGACTTTCTTTTTTTCTTTTATTGAACTATACATTTTCTCCTACTCTGCTTCCCTCCTCCCCTCTCATCTTCCACTCTCCCTACTGTCCCCAAGATCTTAATTTACTCAGGAGATCTTGTCTTTTTCCCCTTTCTAGGCAGATCATGTATGTCTCTCTTAGGGTCCTCTTTATTACCTAGATTCTCTAGGGTTGTGGCTTGTAGGCTGGTTATCCTTTGTTTTATGTCTAATATCCACTTATGAGTGAGTATATATTATATTTGTTTTTCTGGGTCTGGGTTACTTCACTCAAGATTGTGTTCTCTAGTTCTGTCCATTTGCTTGCAAATTTCAAGATGTCATTGTTTTTTACTGCTGAGTAGTAATCCATTGTGTAAATGTATCACATTTTACTAATCCATTCTTTGGTTGAGAGTTATCTAGGTTGTTTACAGGTTCTGGCTATTATGAATAATGCTGCTGTGAACATAGTTGAGCAAATGTCCTCGTGGTGTGAGTGGGTATCCTTTGGGTATATGCCCAAAAGTAGTATTGCTGGGTCTTGAGGTAGATCAATTCTCAGTTTTCTGAGAAAACACTATATTGATTTCCAAAGTGGTTGTACAAGTTTTCACTCCCACCAGCAATGGAGGAGTGTTCCCTTTACTCTCCATTATAAGCTGTCATCAGAGTTTTTGATCTTGGCCGTTCTGACAGGTGTAAGAAACTATCTCAGAGTTGTTTTGATAGGGAATCAAGGGGATACAAATTGGAAAATACTTTCTTTATTCAATAGCTACATTACATACTCATAAAATGATTGTACCAATTATATCATCTCAAATGGTTTTAGAATGCTCACTACCTAAAATGTTTGAGACCACAAATACTTCTGATTTCAGACTCTTTCATAGTTGGGAATATTTTCCTATGTAAAATGAGATATCTAGGGGAGGAACTCTATTCTAAATCTGAAATTCATTTCTGTTTTGTGTTTTACATTCCTAACCTGCAGATAATCTTATTCAGTGCTTTAGTGCACATATATTTGACTGAAACTTGATGTGGTATATTCTACTTGCAGAACCCTATCATTGTTCTGACAAAGTTCAGAATTTTGGAGTATTTTTAATTCAGAATTTTCAGATTAGGGCTACTCAACCTGAAGAACCAGGTTTCTCTGTGCTGAAAACAAAAGCTGATTCCAAGTTTCCTACTAAATAAATAGAAGTAGAGTAAGAGGAGTCTGGGCATACAGATGCTGGAGGAGGACAGTCCCTGAGCAGTGAGCTAGGTCACCAGCAGTTCCTGCAACCTATCCGGGATGGCCACCTGGACAAAGAAGGAAGCAACCTGGAACAGAGAAGCAACAATATTGGGATAGGCTTGTAAGTGACATAATGTAAGTCAATAAAAGACACTAGTCTTTGCTGTCATTGTCCTTACTCTAAGTCACATTTGCTGACATCTTGGTCATTTCAGCAAGATACCTGGTATTTTACTACAGAAAAGAAAGCAGAGGTTCTTGCAAGTTAAGAAGTTTGAGATCTTGAAGGAGTTACTAAATTTGTCTTTGAATTCTCCCACTCTTCTTGTTTAGCTTAACTGATATTTTTGTTATCTCCTCATCCACCTGACACTTTCTTTTAGAAATACTGAAGACAAGTTTTATTTTAAGACTTCTGAAAACAAAAGTTAAATATTGCAAACTCTGACATTTGATGATGATGATTTTCGAAAGAAAATTATCCATTATCACAAGGCAATAAAGTCAAATGAGCCAGTGCAAATGGAAGTTACTGTTTACTTATGGAAGTGGGTAAACTACAACAAAGATAAGTCACATGATAAGCAGATTTCCAGAACAATCCATTCATTGTACTTCCTGCATCAAAAGGTGAACATGGGGTTAGGAAGATGGCTCAGAAGATAAATATGCTTACTGCCCTAGCTTGAAGACCTGTATTCAAATATTCTGCCTAGTTCCAGGTTCAATGAGACACCCTGTCTCAAGGGAAGAAGGCAGGGAGTGATAGACCAAGACATCTGGTATGTTCCTGTGGCTTCTACTCTTGTGTACGTGTACATATACTTACACATGTGTGCACTTGCATAGCACACTTGTACAGACATAATCATATACAAAGAGAGAGATAGATGAAAGCCATCTCTCAGTTACCTTTCCATTCTCTTCTGAAACAGACAATAGACCACAAGAAGAGAAATAAGTTAGATTGTATGGCTAGCCTCTCTATACATTCTTTTCTGGAATAAATATACAAACCAACTTCAGTTTTGGTGAATTTGCATAACTTTCTCAATGGGTACATGCTTTTCTGGGTCAACATGACCAAAGGTGTTTGGTTATCATGAAAATTATTGACATTTGTGTTTGATTTCGTACCTCTGCTATCTTTCAATGATACTATCAGTTCCGTTCAGCTTTCTTTATCGAAAAGATAAGTTACCTTTGAATAGAAACAAGTTATCACTTTTCTTTGCAATGTCTTTAGTGGAAAAAGTAGAGATCGCCATGCAGCAATTCTATGTCTTAACATAAACACCACTTTATAGAATTCTCAGGTCCTACCTTCTCTAGGCACTGTACCCTACTATGTCTAGGCATTATTATCCTACCTTCTCTGGGCATTTTATCCTGTGGGTAAGACTTGTGTTTGTTTTTGTTTTAATATCTGTAATTCTTCTTTGAAACTATGCTCATGTCAATTATTAGAAATTCATAATCCATGGAAACAATGGTATAAATCCATTTCATACTGGTATTGAGGGCTATTGTATCACCTGCTAGAGAGATCACAGCCTTGCCTTTCAATTTATTCATCTCTGATCTTCATAAAATAGACTAAATGTTTGGTAAAGTGCTCTGATACGAAGCAAATGATGTTGTTTCAGTTCTACAGTGCAACACTCATAGGATGGAATACAAAACAATGTGGTGACATCTTTGACTTAACATTTATACAACTAAATATGGCAAAAGCTCACATTTGACATTTCCTGTATTGCTGCCTTCCCATTGAGCTTTCAAAAAAAAAAACCTAAAAATTCCAGTAATACTTCTTCCCTATATCAGTTGTCTTCCAGTGTAATGTTTCTGTGTAAAACTCTATTGCTTTTTAATGGTTTTCCCAAGTATAACAAAATACAAGGGTGGAAAACATATTTATCAGCTTGTCTGCCAAATGAAAGCTGAGCCCCATGACTAAGCAAATTTCTACTTGTTAATACTTAGTGAAGATACTCACCCTCTTTTGCATGGTGCCTGTTTTGCAAAATGGAGAGAATAGAAATAACTTACATACTCTGTGAGAAGGCTACATTGTGTATTTAATCATAGGGATTGTAGTGGACTCACATGCTGTCTGTAAAATATCATCATATTTTTCTTACAAGGCTCCTTAGAATATGATGACTCATTCATTCAACCTTCATTTTCCAAACTGCTTCCCAAAAGGTGACTTCCCAGCATCTATCTGCCACGGTCATAGCCACAAAATCCAGTTCTGACTAATGGAGTGAGTGAGGAAGTTTCTCAGTTTGGATTCTACAAAAGGCTTTGCAGCTGTCACATTATCTTTGGCCAACCTTTTCCCTTCTTGGCCTGACACACTAGCAAATGTGCAGAAAAGCATACGCCAATAACAGTTGTGGGGAAGAGGACCAGGAGACACAGACAATGGAGTAGGATGCTGAAAAGATCATGTCTGCAAAGGTTTAATAAACCTTCGTGCCATCCCTGCTTGGTCTATCCTCGGGCCTCCCAGTATCCACAAGAAACAGAATTATTTCTTTAAGGTATGAGGGGCTTTATTTCTCAAATGACAATATAATACAAGAAGTGATAAGAATGTTATTCATTAACCTTTATACTTGGTAAGTTTCTTTTCATGTATATGTGTGTATACTTGTGTGCAGATGTCTTTGCAGGTCAGAAGAGGGAGTTACAGGTGTTGGTGAGCCACCTGATATGGTTGCTGTGAACCAAACTGTAGTCCTCTGCAAGAGCAGCAAATGCTCATATCATTGAGCCAGCTCTCCAGCCCCAAAGTTTTTTGTGGGTAAAGGCTACATGTCATTTCTCCAGTGCTGCTGCAATAACAATAATTATATAGCCATGTTATATTCATGGAAACAACTAATAGTCCAATATGACAACCACTATCCTAGAAAAACAAGACCATGTTCTTTTTTTCTCCTTGAGGATGAAGCTTGAGAGAAATGGGGATTTAGCATGCCTTCTGCACATAAGGTAAGCATTCTAGCACTGAGCTGTATTCCCAACCCCAAATCCATGAACTCTTTGAATTAGAACAGCTGTCTCTGCTAAATTCAGGTAGACTGCAACAGATTATATTGGCCATCTACTGCTGTATAACAAACTCTGCACACCTCATGGGCTGGAAAGAATGCATGTTAACTGTCGTTAATTCCCTGTGAGTCGGAACTCAGGACTGTCTTCCCTAGAGATCTGGCAAAGCAGCAGTGGAGGTAGTTCCTGGAAGGCACACATGGCCAAACTTCTAGAATCATCCACTCTGCTCCAGAGGTGACACCCATGAGTCTCCAACCAGGTGTTCCTGTCACAAACAGTTGGCTTCCCTACATCCAGTAATAGGATTGAGGGGTAAAGAAAGAGTTTGTGGGAGGCTGTGAAGGTGGGTCAGAGTTGCTAACTTGCCTGCCACCCAACCATGAGGACTGAATTCAGATCCTGGGTGCCCAAGCAGAGGTCTGGCCTGGTGGCACTGATCTGTAACCCCAGCACTGAGGAAGAGAGACAGATTCCTAAAGCTTATAGAGCAGCTGTCAGGGTTAATTTGAAAGACTGGGACTCTGAATGAATGAATGAATGAATGAATGAATGAATGAAAAGATGGAGAGTGATTGAGGAAACCAACAGACATTGACCTCTACTTCAACATATATGTAAGCATACCCCATATATTCACATGTAAATACAAACATACATGCACTCTACACACCCTAATAAAAGAAAAGACATTGATCCAAGACAGAAGCTATTGTGGTTTGATGGTACAATCTCAGAAATAGCTTCCCATCATGTCAATGTCCACCAGAAATGAGCCTATAAGACCAGAAAATACAATTAAACTCAGAGGTCATATGAGGAGAAGGGGATATATAAACCCTCCTGGCACTGGAATGTATAACCTACATTTTTACCATCATGGTGTTACTTCAGGGAGTAGCGATGTCACTCTTGAGTAATTCCAGGGTCTAGTATCAAAATCTAAGATTGAAAATCATTTCTGGCTATTACAACTCAGATATGATATGTTTCCCCAAATGTCCCTTATGTGGCAAGCTAACTTGCCCCTGCCACGGTGTTCATAGGTGGGGCTTTGGGAAGGGATTGGGTTGAGGGCTCTAACTTCATCGATGGATTAATGTGTTGATGTTTTCACAACTGACACTATCGTTAGGGATTCACAACACAAGGTGTGAGGCAGAAGATCAATGGGGACATTTACCAACCAAACTTGACATAACCTCCCCAATAAGGGCTGCAGCAATGACTCAGCAGCTAGCATGCTTAGTGCTCTTGCAGAGGACTCTGTTTCAGTTCCCAGCACTCAGTTCACAGCTAACTGTAACTCTAGTTCCAGGGAACTGACACCATCTCCTGGCCACCTCAGTGGTCTGTATATATATGGTATAGATAATCGTATGCGAGCACACAGATACACATGTAGTTAAATAGTTTAATCATTTCTTAAAACGCCTATAAAATCACTCTTGTAGTATGGGAAAGTTCACAGATTTCCATCATGAACCATCAGTATGAATCTGCTCTTACAACTCCTAGGGGTTTTCTCGCAGTGCCGACTACTCCATGAAGAACTTAGGAGAGGGGACTAAAAGCCTCTGACACTGGAATTTGCCTTCCATATATTTACCATCGGGCCTGTGCTGTTATTCCAGGGAGTAGTAATGTCATTTTGGATAATTCCAAAGTACACCATCAAAGGCAAAGGTTGAGAACTCTTCCTGGCTGTGACAACTCAGAAACATCATGTCTCCTGAATAGTCTCCTGTGTGGCAGGCTAACTTCCCAATAGTGTTCATAGTGTTAATGGGTGGGGCTTTGGAAGGGACAAGACTAAGAGAACTCTAACTTCAGCAATGCCCTAGTACATTGATATCCTCACAAAGGACACCATTGTTCAGGAGTTGTAGAAGCTCTAAGGAGTGCAGTCGGTGGGAGGAAATATGTGGTCGGGCATGCCTTTGAGGATTGTGCCTTACTCTGGCTCCTTCTTCTCCCTGTCTATCTTTCTGCTTCTTGTCTGCCTTTATGAAGTGAGCCGCTTCTTTACACACACACACACACACACACACACACACACACACACACACACACACACTCCCACTGCTGTGATATTCTGCAGAGTTTCAGGAAAAAAAATAAAATAAAACAATGAAAAAATACAAACTGAAGTATTTGTTCCTGAGTTCAGTACTCTGCAGGCATAGTTCATCCCCTTTGAATTACCATGTGGAAGAAACACCCTGGAGCAGAGCATTGTGGCCACATCCTTGCAGCTTCCCTGTGGACTAGCCACTTCCTGCATCAGGCACCTCACCCTACACTTGAGCTCCAGAGGGAACCTAAAGGCATCTCCAACCTAGATTCCCAAGCCCCCCTCCTGGATATGGTCCCCAGGAGAGACTGCATGCCTACTTTTTGGCAGCTGCTATCAGCACTCATTTGCATCAGGCAGACGGAGGACCAGTGCACTGCACCTACACTCTCTGTCATCTCTTATCACATTAGTGCGATATCACATTAGTCTATTAGAGTGCCGTGACAAAAAGGTGTGAGAGCACGCAGCACCTGTCACAGTAGTGATTTGAAATACTGGGTTTAGCCAGCTTCAGGTGGCATTAGTGCCAGTAACTCATCCGTGCAGACTAAGTTCATTTATTTGTACCACATAAATGAAGGTGTCACAGACAGGCTATCATTAAAGACAACTTTCTCCTAACAGAGTTGTTGGAGTCAGAAATGTCTCGGATTAGAGACCCTGCTACGGTGCTTCTCCGCTGGGAGAGCTTTCAGCTTCCCCCTTTGCAGTGCTGAGCTCACCAGCCACCTTCCCCATCATCACTTTCTGCATGTCTCTATGTGTGAAGATAGATAGTGTCACTACTTGCAAACAGGAATGTAAAGGCTTTCTTGTGCTCTAACTGCATCTGAACTTGGTTCCTGAACATGACTGGGGATACGCTGACAGAGCAGGGTCAATCTTTTCTTCCTTTTCACCACAGCATCAGCATCTGGATTTCCCTGGGTCAGAAGACTAGAGGAAGCTATGCTCTTCCTTCCCTGATGATTCAGTAGTCTCTGCTCTGACCGATGAGGAGATGAGTCAGCATAAAAGGTATTGGCAGGTGAGGGGACTGGATAAGCCAATCCCCTGTAAAGCACACAGTTGCTTATTGCATTGAGTAATGGTCTCACCCATGGTGTATGAGGATATGAAGCAGGTAAATTAAAAACTAACAGTAGGCCTTTAAATCTAAAAATAGGAGTAAGGATATGACACAACAAATCTGGATTTTGAACATTTTGGTTTGTAATCAATATTATTGCTTGATCCCTCAACAATAAATTCTGTTTATTTCTACACTGCATGCTAAAATATGGGGAAATACTAAGAAGTACCAGGTCCTTGAAGCTGACAGGCTATTTGATAATCATGGCTACCAAGAAGTACCAGGTCCTTGAAGATGACAGGCTATTTAGCAAATATTGTCATTGATAATGATGGCTACCAAGCCGGGATGACAGTGGACAACTCAAGACATAAGGGGAAAAATAAAACAGGGGCACAAGATACAGTCACAACTGAGTAGAACTATAGGAGAAGAGATAGCACTCTCCATTCTCTGCTTTCATTTGGCCATCCTATGAGGTTGAAATGTTTAGAAGGAATGAGAAGTTATTTCCCAATTCTGAATTCCAGAAAACTAGTATTCTTGATCAGTTTAAAAAAAAAATAGGTACATCCTCCAAACCAAACTCATATACCCCTCCATTCTCTGTAATCTTCTTTAAATGTGTTATATACAATTTTAGATTTAGAGGCTGGGCAAAATTCTTGCTTGATGAACTGTTAGGTGCTATTGTCATCCATGGTGCTAGACATATGAGTCTGCATGTGACAAAATTCATTTTAATGTTCCCATGAAATGTTGTTGGTGAGATGTCATTTATGTAGTGTATATCATAAGTAGAGTTTTCATATTCATATGTCTATATGTTTTTAAGAACTGAATGACCGAACACCCACATATTGAGCCCCAATAACCAATGTGAATATCTGAGGTACAATCTTTGGAAATTAGTGTCTTTTGACTTAGAGGGAACAAGACCCACCCACCCACCCCCCAAAAAATGTCAGGGTGCTATTCAAAACGAAGCTAAGTCAGCACTCACCAAGAATCATGTCAACCAACACTTCAGTCTTGGACTCCCAGCCTCTGGAATTGGGTAAATGAATGATGTTTTTCAAGCCACCAGTCTGTGGCATCCTGTTGTAGCAGCCAAAACTGACTCAGGCATATGCTACCCAATTCTAAGCTTTCTTATTGATCAATCTCACTAATTTCTCCACATATTCTCCTAGTAGTCTTCACATATGATCCTGTGATTCTATAGTATATCTTGTTTATCACTTTTATGTATCCTATAGCTCTTATTTACCACCCATCCCCCACTCTACTCTGCAATTACCTCCAGCACAATACCCAATCCTAACGGAATCAGTAAAACTCTTGTCGTTTTCTGATCCCCAGGGAAAGCTTTTACACTTGATTCCTAAATATAGTACTTGCCATAGGCTTTTTATAGATCTTCTTCAAGTTAAGGAAGCTTTTCTATTCCAAGTTCGTTGAGTTTTTCTAAAATTATAAATGCATATTGATTTGATTTTTAAAATGCCTCCATCTACGCAGATAATCTTGTGATTTTTCCCCTTCTATTCTATTAATGTAGTGAATTACACTGCTTGATTTGTCCAGTCTTAAGTCAATTTCACATTCCTGGAAAATGACCAACCTACTGTACTGGATTCTCTCTTTTGTAATTTGCCAGGTTGGATGGCACATTGGGAATTCAGTTAGAAATTTCACTGCTCTATCAATGACTGGAGAAGGGCCTGTACATCAGCTTTCTCATGGTGAGTGTGTTGTGTGGTTATAGGCATCTGTAGGTTATCCTGGTTTCTTTCATCCTCCCCATTATTTTGTAGTTGTTAATCTAAGGAGAATCTTTTGTATGCTAGGCAAGTGTTCTAACCATGTCGTATACTCTAAACATTTATTCTTTCAGTGCCTGGAAGCCCTCTGGATCTGGAGTTTTATTTGGAGGATGTTTGAAATTACTCTTCAGCTTCTCTTAAAGATGGCAGGTTATAAAGTTTTACACATCTGCTTTAGTCAGTTTGATCCCTTACATTTCCCCCGAAATTTAACCATTTCACAACACAATTCAAATCAATCGAGGTAAACTTGTTTGTGATATTGTCCTGGCAGCTCGATAGCTACAGGCTAGCGCTCTCTCTCTCTCTCTCTCTCTCTCTCTCTCTCTCTCTCCCTTAGTGTTTCTGTTCTTGCTACCTGTGCTCCCCCTCTTCTTCTCTAGCTCCATCCCAATGAGTGTTGATGCCAACAAAGGCCCCTTTCAAAAGAAATAGGCATCCCTAGCTATACTATTTCAGGCAATTATTGTCTTGTTTTAATTTCTTTATTGTTTCAGAGTCTTACTCTGCAGCCCTGGGTAACTGGGCGTTCACTATAAACTGGGCTAGCCTAGAACTTGCCTCTGCTTCCCAAGTCCTGAGATTAAACACATGCACCACCACTCCTGGCCTGTTTTTTTAAATTTTTAAAATGCCTCCAGCTCTATGTTCGTTGCTTCTCCATCCAAAATTACTTGGGCGTAAACTGTTATCCAATTCTGAGTGTTCAGCTGAAATGTCTAGTTTGTAGTTTTTGGAAACCTGCTTCATGGGGGCTTAATGCTATAAATTTCTAAGTGTGGCTTTAGTTGCATCCCATATAGAAATGTACTTATTTATTTTCTAATTTTGGAATTCTTTTTCTCTGATATATGAGTTATCCATAACTACATTTTTTCTAAACTTCCAGACATATGGGAACTTTGCATTATATTTTGGCATTGCTTTCTAGCTTAATTGTACCATAGTAAATATAATTTATATGTATAAATTATATATATAAATTATATATAAAAATTATATATATATATGCACACACATACATCAAGACGTCTGTCTTAAACTCTCCAAGGCTTGCTGGGGAAAACTGAATTAATTTCCCAACATGCCCCACTCTTTGTATTTCCTTCTGCAGTAGAATTGGCTATAATCATCCTTCCTGTCCCGCTGATGTCATTTTGAAATCACAATGTCTGGTTTATCCAATAAATTGCAAGTAGAGAGAGTTCAGAACTCCCGCTGTCCACCCTTGTCCCAGACAGAGACAGCTTTGTCATTCTAAATCAAATCATGGAATGATGAACATGTGTCGATGGATCTCAGTGGCCCCTGGGCTCATGTCATTAGAGCATAGTTCAGACTCTGCAGTGGGTGCTGGGGACTGAACTCAGGTCCTCTGAAAGAGCACCAAACTCTCTTAACCACTGATTCATCTCTCCAGCCACTTGGATATTTTTTTAATCCATATAAAACTGTCAAAAGCCAGGTGGTGGTGGCACATGTCTTTAATCCCATCACTCAGGAGGCAGAGGCAGGCAGATCTCTGTGAGTTTGAGGCCAGCCTGGTCTACAGAGCAAGTGCCAGGATAGGCTCCAAAGCTACAGAGAAACCCTGTCTAGAAAAAAAAAAACTGTCAATCAGCCCAATTTATTTCTCTTTCATTTCCTCTGCCCCCATTTTATTTTTATCAAGTTCCAAATTCCAAATTCCACTTATACTTGTTGGTATAAGTGCTACTTCATAATCTCCTTTACAATTTCCCTTACCTTTTACCTTTCTGTGCTGTGGTCTGGAGTTAATTGTTTTTTTATTATTCCCTGCTGACTTGAGTCTTCTCAAAACCACCACCTCATAAGTCTTAATGTTTTATTTATTACAAGTTACCTGTCATGACAACCCCAATATTTGGAACCCCTAAGTAGTCTCATTTTTTCCTTTGGCTTTCATGCTCAGGAGACATGATATACTGCATGTTTCAACCAAATAGATTAATCCTGTTTGTATTGTTTTTACAAAATTGCATGGAGAAATAAATCCAGGTCCTCGTGGATGTTTGCTGTTTGGCTTCTAGGGTACCCTGAGACTCTGGGACCCTGAGGTTTAATGTTAATCAGTCACTTGAAGTGTCATTTCCACAAAGGATTTCTCTTCACTTCTAGCCCTAAAGGGCCTCAACTCAAATCTCAAGCTGCTCATAGCATCTTTCTTCATATCAGATCCTGGATGACAGTCTGTCCTGCCCAGTGCCAAGTTTGTCAAGAGCAGCACCAAGGATCTTCCTGTTCCATTATCTTCTTTATGAGTTCTCATTTATCCTGTGGAGAAAAAAAAAATAATGGCTGAGCCAATGGGTTAATAAAATGCCTTAGGCAGTCAACTTAAAAGCAGCATTTATTTGCATTCTCATCTCAGAGGCTTCATTCCACATTGCTTAGTCCTGTTTTAGGCCCAATGTTGTGGCAGAGCAGAATGGCAGAAAGAACGTTAGACAGAAGCTTCACACCTCAAGTGGTCAGAAGCAGACAGAAGGGGAACGAAGCCAACATGCCCTTTAAGGCCAGCAACCCAATGAAGCTGCCCTTCACCAAGCCCACCCCTGCAGTTTCTATTTCCTCCCCAAATACTGGAGACTAGGACCCAAGTCTTCAGTCCAGCTGTCCTTATTGGGAACAAAGTCCAAACTGTAGCTAAGGATATCAACTTTTTGGACATCTTAATTCCCTTTCATCATCCCAAGTCACAATACAGATTCTTTCTCATTGTTACAACAAAATCCCCAGACAAAAGCAATTTAAGAGAGAAAGAGCTTATTTGACCACATAGTTCCCGAGGGGTCTGGTCCACCTTGGAGAGGAAGACATGGCAGCAGGCAGAGAAGGCATGGTGGCAGGAAGAGGAGGCTGGAAGCTCACTTTACATCCGCAGTCAGAAAACGAAATGCAAATAGGATGTGGGGCCCAACTATGAAACCTTTAGCCCTTCCCACAATGACTCATCCTCCCCCCCCCCAACCCCCAGCAATGTTCCACCTTTAAAATTCCCCTCACTTCCCAAACAGTGATCAAGCCAACGAACCTACAGAGAACATTTCTCAACCAGGCCACAGCAGTATCTCATCACTGAGGCATTAGTAATAGATGATACAGAAGGACAGAAACTACCATTTGTGAGCAACTAATAGATGCCATGTGTTTATTCTGTGACATCATCCCTATTAAAGGTGTTTTGCAAGGTAGTTATTCTATCCTTGGTTTTAAACATGAAAAGCCCGAGCTTCCCAGAGACTAAGGTCATGTCTGCTACCATATAGCAGAAGCAGAATTTGTAGCACAAGTGTTTTTCTGACTGCAAAGATAGTTCTTCACTCTTTGTGTTGACCTTCCATAAGCTTGCTTTAATTAACGTGAAGAAAGAGAAATCTTGGAGCTTGTGATATGCAAATAAGAAAATAACAACCTCATGGGTTGGGACACTAAGACTCCCTCTTAGACTTCCCATATTTGGAAACCATCTACTACATAGCTCTTTGTGAAGAGTCCTTTTGAATTGCTGAGCGTTTGGCAAGCTGATATTTCATTTCATGTAGCGTTATCTTAATGTTTATATGATGAATCTTAAGACAAAGTAACAAGCAGAATCTAAACTTGTGCTAGCCAGTGAGTAGCCTGCCAACAATCTGATAATGTGATCCTCTGGTGTCGAGAAGGAGAGGACAGAGAGGAACTTGACAAATCCTCCAGGGGCTTCTGTGGCACTTTGCCATGCATGGCATCCAGGTCTGTGGCTCTTGATCCTCCACTTCAACAATAGTAACGTTATCCCTGTGTTTCTTTGAGCCACACGTGACAGACTGCATGCTAGTCAAGCACAATAGGACAAGGGGGGCGCAGAAATAGAGAAAACATAGAACATTTTAACACCTGCTATCCACAGCAGACAATTTGGGATGCGGTGAAAACATAGCAGGTTGGGGAGGTACTGCTGTGCTTTGGGAACCTCACTTTCCTTCCTTGCTAGACTCATCCAGGCAATGGTCTGTTCTTTCCAGAATCCTGGACAGCCCATCTGCCACCTAGCTTGTATATTATGCCCATATCTGCCGGTGAGCAGAATCATGTTCATGGGGACTGACCCCTCCATGCATAAAAGTACAGGTGAGGAGACCTGCTCTAGAGCCTGGTGGGTGAATTTGAGTTGGTAGACTGGGAAGAGCCATGAGACAAATTTCTTCGCCTTTTTTTCAGGAACCATCTGAGTGTATATAGAGCAAGGATTATCTCCACAGGTCCAAGACACTCCAGTCTGTGCACGCTGGTGCTCTGCTCACACTGTACCCCCTACATGGGCTTCCATTTCATTGGTTTTATACCTCAGTGAAGTCTTTCAGAGTGAGCTTCTCTTTTAGGCTGGCTTCTTTTTAGAAAGTTGAGGTAATACATGTACCCTGGAACATGGATAAAAGACAGTTAATTCTCATGCTTTAGTCCAGTGCCCTAGCACCAAAGGTTTAGGTGTCATGGCAAAAACACAACATTCTTGTATTGTGGAATAATCTTTTCTGTACAAGGTGAAGATACGTTTTTTTGCCAAGGATCCTTCTGATTGGTTTGATAAAGAGCTGAATGGCCAAAAGCTAAACAAGAAGAGGTTAGGTGGAACTTAGGGGGTAAAAGAGAGGAAAGAGAGCTGAATCTAGGTGCAGGAGAGACACCAGAAGAGACAGAGAGAAAACAGGACATGCAGAAGGAGAGGTAAAAGCCTCAAGCCCCAAGGCAGCACACAGATTGATAGAAATGAGTTCATTTAAGTTATAAAAGCTAGGTAGAAATGAGCCTAAGCTAAGACAGAGCTTTCATAATTAGTAATTATGAAAGGGGCTGGAAGTCCAAGAAAGCCTGGTACTTTCTTGTGTGCTACCTGATCATAAACTACAGGGATG